GGGCACTTTACAGGAAAATGTAAAGAGTGGAGGAGAAAGTGGAGAAATCTGGATATGTAGGAAGGGATAATGTAGCTTTCTGAAACTTCTAAGCTGATGGTTCATATTTTGAAGTAATTATTACTTAAAGGACAGCTCAAATGTTATTTCAAATCACACCCATTTCCTTTTTCCAAGGCATTCTACTTACAGTGTGAACTGATGCTGTGAGAGCTGTTCTTTAACTAAGTTGTCTTTTCTATTGCAATCCATATTTCTATGTCACTAAGCAATATATTCAAAAGCCTAATATCAAATTTTCATTTTGTGTACATTTTTATTGAATTTTGTGCATTTCATATAAAACATCTTAATCATCTTTATACCCCTCACCAATCCAGACTCCCCATTAGCCCACCCCACCAGAGTTCATGCATTCTGTCATATATGTTAGGGTCTGTTGAGTCAAATTAGTATACCCAGATGGCCCTCAGAGCAAGTTCATCCACTGGGTTCTAGTCAACCTAGCTAGAGTCTCTCCCATAAAGAATATTAACTCTCAGGGCTGGAGAGATGGCTCAGCAGTTAAGGGCACTGACTGCTCTTGCAGAGGACTGGGGTTTGATTCCCAGCATCCACATGGTGGCTAAAACCTCCAGTTCTAGGGAATCCAATGCCCTGGGGAATCCAATGCCCTCTTTTGACCTCCATGGGAATTGCATGACACAGGTGCACCTAGCTATATGCAAGCAATGCATTCATACACATTAAATAAGAATAATAAGGGGCTAGAGAGATGGCTCAGTGGTTAACACTGACTGTTCTTGTAGAAGACCCGGGTTCGAATCCCAGGACCCACATGGCAGCTAACAACTGTCCGTAACTCCAGTTCTAGGAGATACGACAGCCTCTTCTGTCCTCCGCAGGCATTGCACAACATGGATGCACCTACCTACATGCAGGCACAACACTCATACACATAAAAATAATAAATAAAGTATTTTTAAAAAATATTTTAAAAACTTAAAAAAAAAAAGAATATCAACTCTCCCTCACCCAGCAGTAATTAGTTACCAATAGTTCTTTTGTTAAAGTTGGGGCCTACTCCTCATTTCCCCAGTTCTTTGCTGGATTTTTGACTGCTTGAGCTTGCATGGGTCTTGTGCATGCTGACACCATTGTTGTAAATTCATATGATCAAGGTCCCAAGAGCTTGTAAGACTCTGTTTCCATATGGTCATGCACCTCCTCCACTGGCTCTTACAATCTTTCTGTCCCCTCTTCCACAATGGTCGCTGAGGCCTGGGTATGTGAAGTTTACTATAGGAGTCTTGTCCAGGGACCCATACTCTGTAGACTCTTACTCTACACTTTAGCCATTTGTGTTCATTGCCCTTTCTTGCATAAGGGAGCTTCATTGATGACAGTTGAAAGATGCATTAATATTCTCTCTACCCCTTGTTCCCTATGTTCCATGAGCCTTAGATGCAAAGGTTCCATTGTCGATGGGCAACTTAGGGTTGGGCATCTCACATACACTTATTCTTTGTATGTGACCAGTTGTAGAACTCTGTAAGAGTCTCCATCTGTTGCAAAAGAAGTAACTTTCTTTTATGATTGGTAACTGGCATATTTGTCTATAAATATAATTATCCATATTTGGCCTACTGTAAGAAATTACATTTGTCTAGGGATGTGACAAACTTAGGGTTTTTTCTAAGATCTATGACTTCTCCAGGCACATATATTTGGCTATGCTTACAGAACAACATATGTGATCCCTCTCTTTGAGTTGGCTTTAAGTCCAATTAGGTAGCTGTTAATTACCCCCAAGATAAAAGTGCCACTACTGAATCAATACAGTTTGCTCTGCCAGTCATTGTGACTATTAAGCCTTTAAACTGGGTTAAACAATCAATTGTTCTCCCTTAGTAGCTTGCATGGTGTCCTCCAAAACTATGAAAGCTAGCCTTCTGGGAGGTGAATCCCAGGTCAGTTCCAGCTCCATTGCTCCAAGTCCTTTGTCTGAAATATGTCCTGTCTTCAGCAATAAGGTCTTCACTTTAAGTTCTCTAATGTCAAATATTTAAACATTGGTGGATATTGAAATTTTATTAAAACATGGTAAATTATGATTATTCATGTGTGGCTTTTAGGTACTGGGAGATAGCCTTACCAAAGCTGTCCCTGACTGAGGCTAACCCCTCAACTTATTCTCCTCCTCTAGTTTTTTATTACCTCTTAAGTTCAACATCCACTCTAATACTGTATGATTCAACATTTGTTTACAAAGTTCTAGAACATTTTAATTCTCTATTTAGAAGCTGCTGGGCTAAGAATTTAGTTCAGTGACAGAGAACAACTTTAGCATGTGTGGGTTCCTGGGCTCAACCCAAGAACCAAATCAATCAAGTAATCAATCAACCAATCTACAAGCTTACAATAAAATAGCCAATAAAACTGTATCTAGAAATATTGAATATTTACATATACTGCATGCTTGAATGTGATTATAGAATCAAGGATAAAACAAAGAAAGAATTTTAAAAAGTATTAATGTGAATTGAAGAGGAAAAAATATAGAGAAAATAAGAAGATAGACTGAGAGAGTATAGCCAAAGGGAGGAGCTTTTTAATGTTAAAAAAAAAGAGTGAAACATTTGGCACAAGCCTTTAATACTAACACTCCGGAGGCAGAAGCAGGTGGATCTCTGTAGGCAAGCCTGGTGTGCATAGTGAGTTCCAGGCCAAGTGGGGCTACAGGGAGACCCTGTCTCAAAAAAAAAAAAAAGGAAAGAAAGAAAATAAAGAAGGAAGGAAAGAAAGAAAGAAAGTTGTGTATATTCACCTTTATGCATAATGCCTTATATGTATAGTATTTTAAACACTTGAAAAGCAAGTCATGAATCAATAAATAGTTATGACTTTCCCATTTCTTACAGGAAGAAGTATGATTCTTTACAACCCCTAAAGTATCTTATAATTGTACCTGGATGGTGTGCCTGCTATGCCAGTCAGTGTCTTTATGACACCACACCATCTAAGCCATCATTTTCTCTCTCTTGTGCAGCCCTTGAGTATGGAATGTCCTTTCTTCTCTTCTCCTAGGAAAGTCCTGCCTTGATTCAAGACCCAGTTCAAATGTCTTTTGCAAAGCCTTTTTTGATTAAATTCAGATACTCAGAGGACTTCCTTGTGCCTGTCAGTCAATAGATCTTTCTATTGGAATGCTAAATACATTGTGATCACTTTTGGATATATGTTGGCATTTGATTCTCGCACTAGACAGCTCATTCTTGGAGGTTGTGAACACACGGGTCAATATGGCTTCATATCTTTGTGCATCAAGCACCTAGGCTGGCATGAGATGGTGAGCAACTGTTGAACTAATTTGTTTCTGTTTCCTTTCACATTTTTCTTTTTTATATAATTTTTAAAATTTTATATGCACGAATGTATTTCCTGCAAGTATGCAAGTACATCCGTGTTGTGCAATGCCCACAGAGGTCAGAAGAGTGTGTCAGATCCCCTGGAACTGGAGGTATGAACTGTTGTTATCTGCTATGTGGGTGCTGGGAATTGAACCTGGGTCCTCTGCAAGAGCAGACAATGCTCTTAACTCCTGAGTCATCTCTCAGCCCACTTTCACATTTTTCAAAATGATGGACAATAGCACTGTGTACTAATATAATGCTGACTATATTCCCAAGTTAAAGCATTTAAATTCTCCATGAACCAATTAGTTTAATTCAAATGTATGGTAATGATTTTCATACATTGCATATTTTTCTTCAAAACAAGGTATGGAGAGATTCTAAATTTTTTTTCCAGTTCATCCCAATGACTTTCTAAGGTTTTTATTTGAATTTTTTGCAAACTTCATACAATGTATTTTGATCATATTTAGATCCCCTCTCCTATCTGTACTCTCTTGCCACCCCTGGCCAATTTCATGCACTCCAGTATGTGTGTGTGTGTGTGTGTGTGTGTGTGTGTGTGTGTGTGTGTTTTAAGGCCTATCAAGTCAAGCTTGTGTCCCAAGGTATCTTTCAATGTGAGTCTATCCATTGGCACCTGGTTAGCCTATCCAGAGTCACACCCTTAAAGAAAACTGATTCTCCCTCTCCCAGCAGCTATCAGTTGCCAGTAGTTTATCAGCTTAGATTGGGGTTTCCTATCCATTTTCCCTACTTCTATGCTGGAATTTTGTCTGCTTGAGCTTACTTGGGGATTTTGTATTGAAACAATTTTCCAGATATTCTAAAATTTTTAAGATGGCCCTTAACAATCAAGGACAAAACAATAGATAGGAAGTTATCTCATATTCCCAAAATAAGGCACTGATACTTTTAAACAAGACTTGAAATGCAACAGACCAAGAGAGCTTGGCACTTCACATGTAGACCAACAGCGTAAAGAGTTAACATTGAACTTTGCTGAAGAAAGTTGTTGGAAGCTGTGGCAAATTTTCATCTCCCTCATTTTTGAGAGAGACTTTAAGAGCATAACTCAGAAGGCTTGATGATTTCTCTGTAGCGTATGGAGGACAGATGGGGAGGACAGATAATTTCCATCTTTAAAATTATCCAGGCGAAAGGATCCTTCTCTGGAGTTGTACATAGAGCCAGCTGTCCTTCCACTGACAATGCAACAGAAGTTTGTGTGTTCATGGACCAAATAGGAGCCTATTACAAAGGCACTGACTCCAGGATTCTTTTAAAATGATTGTCTGCCTTAAGAATGAGGAACTTTAACACGAAGATGATATGGACTATTTGATAAAGAAGCTGAAGAGCTTCACAACAATGGAGAAGAGAGGGAGTTGACTGTGATGAGAACCTCAGTGGCACTCACAGTAGTGTTCCACTTGTCTGCTCTATACACACAAACCAGCAGAGATCATGAGCACACCTTCCTCTCATTACTTCTCCTTTCTTCTTCCTTCTAATGATGGCTGGAAACAAACAAACAAACAAGGGATATCTGAGGAGATGACTCATTCCAGTTGGTAAAGTACTTACCACACAAGCATGAGAACCCACGGGAAACCTGGGTGTGGCAGTATGCATCTGCAGTTCCAACACTAAGAGTAGAACGCTGGAACTCATTTTCCAGCCAGTCAGTTGAATCAGTGAGCTCTGAGTTCAATAAGAAACCCTGCCTCCCCCTGCAAAACAAATAACATGGAGAACAAAGAGAAAGGCATCTAATGTCAACTCCCGACCTCCACACCAGCATGTACACATGTACACACACCCACACTAACATGTACATACACCACACACACACACACACACACACACACACACACACACACACACACACTACACATACTGGTAACTAGGGAGATGCCAGGACATTTTACTCATATGCAACATAACCAAAATGAGAATTGCATACTTAATGACAAATTGAAACTACAAAATATTGCATAGGAACTAGTCAAGTTGAAAAAGGATTATTACTTAAATGGACAGAGTACTTCTTTTATTATATCAAAATGAATGAAAGTGCTGTAGAACTCATTTAAGATTTCCACTGGAAACAGGGAAAGAGCTAATCCATAAGCAAGGACTGAGTTCTGTTCTAGTTGTTCATACAAATTGGTTGCACATGTTTTTTATACAACAAGAATGCAGTGAGAATGTATATTAATTCCTATACAGTTCTTGCTAGTTTCAAGAAAAAAAAACTAGTGCACACTTGACTGAGAGAGAAATATGGGATCATTTTTATACTGAAAGTCGACACTAAAATAATTTGTTTCATAATCTGTATACATATTATATACATATACATATCAAATCACATAAAGAAACTTGAATAACAAATGTTTTTACAGACAAAATACTCTCGAAATCTCTTATCAAGACTCACAAATAGATCATTTCAGCAATTCTAACACAGAGACAAAAGATATCTTCACAAAGAATTTAGTTTCCTGTATATATGTGTGCACATATACATGGGTGTGTGCATGTGTGTGTGTGCGTGTGGTACATGTTTGTATGGGTGCACGAATGTATGTGGGAGCACATGCCTATATGTAGGTATGCATGTGGAAGCTAGATGTCAACCTCACATGTCATTCACCAGGAGCCATCCACAGCGTATTTTGTGACAGAGTCTCTTATTGGTCTAGAGCTCACTAAGTAGGTTAGGTTGGCTGACAACCAAGCTGAAGGACCTGCCTGTCTCAGCCTCCTCAAGCTCTAGAATTACAAACATACATCACTACACCTGGCTTCTTTATTTGGGTTTGGGGGATTAAAGTCAGGTCCTTAAGCTTGTTTGGCAAGTACCTAATAACTGAACCACCTCTGCAGCCCCTTCATAAAGAATTTTAAACAGCTATAAAATAAGATACTCTCATCTCATCATAGTCTAGCAGAAGAATTGAAAAAGCATTTTAAGAAAAAAGTTTGTGGTACTGATTACTACATGTGGGATGGGATTGTAAGCACTAAGGAATCAAATATAAAAAGATTACACTTTTGTTACTAAGAAGGTATTGACTTGGCGACCAAATAATGCTGGTCACTTGGCCAGTAAAGATCCTTGTCAGATCACACAGGGACTAGCATAAGACCATCCAACTGCACTTCCTGCCTCTAGACTCATAACACCTTGTGTCCATCTTCCATGCTCTAACTAAATGTGGCCACAACAGCTACAATACTGAATGCTCTACTGGATTCTAGTAAACCAATATTAAATTACATAATTTCATATGTGCTCACCTTTCTGTTCTGCCCTCTGCTTCTTCCCTTATCCCTCCTTTTGTTTAACCTCACTTTCCTGGACTTCAACTGTAACACAGTATTTCCTACCTCTAAGCCATAACCCATACTTTCCTTTCTCCTGGAATCCATTCTCTATCTCATATACTTACAAAATTCTAGGTTTTTTTTCCCTCTGAAACATTGGTACAGTACTATGTGTTTGGTAAGATCTTCCTTGCACACTCCCTTTTCATATCCCCATTCATGTAAATTTTATTTGAGCCAGACTTCTACACTGGCACTTACAACATTGTTCTAAAATTATCCCTTTGAATGTTTATCTCTACAACTAAGTGATTAGGTACCTGGCATTGTGAGTGAAACATTTTAGGCTGTGAATAAATTAAATAATTGAACCAAGACAATATTGTTTGTGTTATTTGCTGATATTTACTGACCATGATTAGGGTTCCACACAGTGATTTAGAAGGTTTAATGAATCTGGATTGTTTTCAGGACTGTGAATGTTACTTTTTAAAAGGCTCTTGGAATTTACTGGTGATAACAGATGAGACAATTTGAAGGGAAGTTCCTAGGAATTAGGTTCAATATCCATATGATAGAAACTGAGGAGTCCTGAGGTTCAGAGTGTTGTAGTCCCATCAGGAATTGGAGACTGAAAAAGAATTGGTTGAAACCACTGAGATATCAAGCAAGAAGCCCCTGTGGCTTGGCAAAGTATCCATTTGAACTTTTGTCATACTTAAATTCCATTTGTTTTTTTTTCACATGGCTTCCTCACTCAGAATCTTTCCTAAAGGCACACTCCAGTTTAGAGAACTATAATAAAAATATTACATGGATTCGACCAATGGCTGCTTTTCAGTTATTGGAGATTCACAATACATGTTGTGAATGTTTAGTTAGAATTATCAGCAAATCCCCCAAAAGATTATTTGGCTTCTTTCTGTCTCATTCACTCATTTTTTTAAATAATAAAGACATAAATATTTTCTCAGAATTTTTATTTCCCCTGAATTAAAAAGGATAGGAAATATTTAAGTGAATTTTTCCTCAACACCCAGCAGGAATCACCAGGCTTGCGAAGGCTGGATGGAGCCAAGGTGTGCAAGGCCCTGATGGTCCATAGCTTCCCGTTCTGTATTTACATTTTCACCTTGAATGTGATGAGGGAATGCTTCTGAAATTTTAGGCAGCAAGATTCTTGGCCGGATTGGTTTAAAAAAAAATCGTTTGGGTCAAAGTGTAAAGGAGTTGGGAGAATCAGCTACTGGGCTGTAGTTAAGAATAGATGGGGAATCCTGGACATGAATCTGTTTGGAAGAGAAAATGTTGAGGTCAGTTTGTAAAAAGTTGACCTCAGCAGTCTTCTCCCTGAAATGGTTATAAAGCTTTCCCCCACTTGCCCTTGGGAGATCATATGGATTCTCACTTTCAATTGGGTATTCTCCCTGCCTGGTTGACAGAAATAACAAATAACTAACAATACCCTAAAGTACTGCTGACTCCAAATTTTGTTTAGTTTTTAATTACCAACCTAGCAGTTAGAGCTTGTTTATGTTTGAATTATCCACATTATAAAATTTGCTATTGGGATTTCAATCACTTTTGCTCTAGCCTTGAGTCATAGAAAGAAAAAAGTAATGAATGAAAGGAAAAGGAGAAAAGAAAATGTTGTCCTAATGTATCCTAATTTTCAGCTTATTGGAAAATCTGGTGGGAGAGAGACAATAGAAAGCCATGTGCATCTTTCCCCAGGGCCATGCTCATTGGCCAGGTACATGCTATTGACCAGGGCTATGCTCATTAGCCAGGACTATGCTTATTGGCCAGGGCTATGCTGTTGGCCAGGGCTGTGCTCATTGGCCAGGGCTGTGCTCATTGGCCAGGGCTATGCTTATTGGCCAGCACTCCACAAAGCACCACAAGAAGGAAGGGACAGGAGGAGCATTATGGTCCTTGATGTTTTAATTTAGTCAGCTTATCTTTAGAAAACTCACAAGTAGCTGTACAGTTTTGGCAATTATGTTATAAAGTCCTTTGCAATGCTTTCCTACAGGAAAGCTATTTTTGATAAGTACATTTTTAGATAATTTTGCTTATCCTATAGTAGTATGTCAAGGTATTATACTACATGTTTCTGGAAACAGCGAAGAAGATTCAAGCTATTAATAGAAATGTTTCACTAAAATTCAAACAACAAACTAAGGATATTTTAAAAATTCTAAACTCTTTGTGCATGTTTAAGAAATACTGTTTCTAACTCTAAGTCTTTTTGTCTGTCTGTGTACACATGTAGCTAAGCACATGTGCACATGTGTGTGCATGCATGTGGGAAGCCGGAGGTTGATATCAAGCATCTTCCTCAATTGCTCTCTAGTTTTGTTTTGTTTTGAGATGGTCTGTACTGAACCTGGAGCTAACCTGTGCAGTTAGGCTACCTGTTCAACAAACCCCAGGGATCTTCTGTCTCTGTATCCCCAGCACTGGAATTACAGGCATGTTCATGGTATCTAACAGAGGTCCCCGCAAGCACTTTACCAACTGAGCCATCTCGCCAGACCCTCTACCTCTATTTTTAAAATGAATGACCAAAATATATAAAATGGTATGCATGCCAAGCACTCCATATAATGGGATATAGTAACCAAGCAAGCATGCCGGGACTTTTGTTTAATGAAGAAAAGCCAAACTGTCACTATGCAATACTTCCTTATATAATTGGTTATAAAAATTACAGTAATTTCAATTTCCAAATCAATTTTGAAAACTTTGAAATGTGTAAAAGTATGATTAATTCCAAAACTTTATCTCATAAAAGGGAAAAATATTTCATTCACTGAGTCTTGATTTAACAAGTAAATTTGAAGTGAGAAAAATGTAAGCCTAAATTCAGAATATTACAATTAGCTAAGGAAACCATGCTATTTCTCATTGAAATATTTGCTTATATTTTTACAAATGAATTATGCTAAGACTAAATATTATTTTGATGGAATTTAATTGGTATACTGTTTAAGGTCCATGAAACTCCAAAATGCAAATGCATTTCATATCTTCATAAAATCACCTTCCATAAAAGGCCAAAATGGCCGGGCGTGGTGGCACACGCCTTTAATCCCAGCACTCGGGAGGCAGAGGCAGGAGGATGTCTGTGAGTTCAAGGCCAGCCTGATCTACATAGTGAGTTCCAGGACAGCTGGGGCTACAGGGAGACCTTGTTTCAAAAAGACCAAAAAAAAAAAAAAAAAAAAAGGCCAAAATGGAATAACATAAGAATCCTGATAGTAGTGACTAGAAGCAGAATAACTTAAAAAATTAAATAAAGCAAAACTGGCTTCTTAGTTTGCTTTGGATTTCCCAGTCTATCATGTGGTTTGATTGTTGCTGAAGTGTCTGGATGGGGTTGACCACCCATCTAGTG